ATAAAGCCCTTAGCTCCAGTCATTCACCTGAGGAAATAAGGTTAGCTATTAGTGGAATATTAAAAGATTCTAAAGGGAGAAATTAGATAATTACTCCTCTGGAGAGATTATTTATCAATTTTTTTTTGCTGTGGAATTAATAGGAAGAATTCACTTGGCAAAACCAACCTGCTGCTACTGGTGCTGGCAACAGTGCCTTTTTAAAGACCCATGTAACTTCATTCTTTTTTAATTCTGTTGTTGAAGTTATTGAACCTGTAGTGACTGACAGTCCATCTTAAAGAAAATGCATCAGAGAACTCACTAAATTCCAGATAGGGTAAGTAGGTAGGAAGATAGATGATAGATAGACAGATAAATAGATCAAGTTAAATCAGCATCTGATGTTGAAGTTATTGAACCTGTAGTGACTGACAGTCCATACCAAAGAAAATGCCTCAGAGACCTCACTAAATTCCAGATAGACAGATAGGTGATAGGAGGTAGATAGGTAGATGATAGATGATAGATAGATAGATAGATAGATGATAGATAGATAGATAGATAATAGATAGATAGATAAATTTAAATCAGGAGCAAAGGAGCAATTCATTTTGGGTATACCAAATTATGGTACAACTTGGCAACTTGAATAATTATAACCCTAAAATTTGCAATAGTAAGTAAACCTAGACTAGTTGATGATAGCTAATATGCTTCTGTATAAAACTGAAAAATTTTAGGTACCAACTTGTTGGAATAGGAAACAGTGACTCATGCAAGCTTGCTTAGTACACTTTTTATAGTCATGGGTTTTCCTTTGAATAAGTCTTGGCAGAGATAACTCATAAGAATATAACTCAAAAAAATATTTGGAAGAAAGACCCGGAACAATGAAATAATTGTTGTTTTGAATTTGAGTCATCTGGAATTTCAGAGTGTGAATTAATTATTGTATATTGTATTTTTCACCCTTATGTATTCCCTTGTTTGTTTTTTTTTCATTCTTAATTTCCATTCCTTTCCTAACATACTATATTCCCAATTCTCTAGATTTCTAAGTGAAAAATATGTGTAAGTGTTATTTTATATTTTCATCAACATCATTTCCTAGTTGGCAGGCTATTGTCCTTAGCAACAGGAGCAGAAACAAGCCTGGGGCTCAGTAATTGCAAGGAGAAAGAATGATCCTTCTCAGTGAAGGGTGAACTTCTTTTCTTGCCCTCTCCATTGCTACACATTGTTAATGTAGACTCATTTCCTCTCTGGATCCATGTGCTGAGCCTTCCTGTCAAGGTCATGCTTGACAAAGTTTTATATTTCTTTTATACACTGCCTTATTAGACTATCATACACCCCACAGAGAAATACTCTAAATGTATCCATACCCTTGCATTTTCAGTCCTAAGATTATACCTTTGGCTGATAATTGTTCATTTAAAACCCACTCAAATTTTGACACCTGGGGAATTTGGAAAGAACGATGCAGAGTTATCCAAAATCAACATGATGAATCAATTTCTCTTTGAAAAAGATTAATAAAAAATGCAAACTGAAAATCACTTTCAGTAAGTCTAGCAAACAAGAATGATTTTGGTTGAAATAACTTCTTTCTATAACCTTCAATTTCATAACATTTTCTCCCAAAACACCACACAATTGAAAACTTTGTATACTGTGAGAAGAGACTTATTTTAAAATATAATTTAAAGGAGGATCTGGGAAATAGCAATACTACTTAAAAATCTTATGTAAACAACCAACCAAAAACCTATGATTCATCTGAAAATTAACAGAAGGGAAAAACTAAACAAATTCTTAAAGAAAAAAATGAGTATACATAAACAGAGCTAAAAAAGAGATAAAAAGAAAAAAGAAAGCCTGTATCTTCTAATACAATTGAGGTGACATATCTAGAAAAATAAACACAGTAATTGTTAGGTTGGCAGGTTTTCGGGGTAATCATGGATGCCCCCACCAAGATAGTATGCACTAATAAGACTGATTCCAGCTGCACAAAATAATCATGTATATTATCTTACAGTTTAAAATGTTCAAAGCACTTTCAAATGTAAAGTTTAGTAGAAATTTTTAGCTTCCAGATGAGAATAGCATACAGATTGGGCATCTGGAGGGACATGAGGGATGACTGCAAATAATAGACTGTAATAGGAAAGGTGGCAGGACACCAAAGACAAACTGTCTGAACATCATTTATATTGCCTGGAGCTAATCCTATTCACATGGTTATTTTGTTGTGAGTTGTAATTATCTCCAGAAACAGTTAGTTTATTTGATGGATACATATGCACTGTCATCCAGAAAAATCTGAACAACCGAGCCTCAGCAAAATGTTCTCTCATTCCTATGAGTCAACTATCCCATTACCAACAAACAGATTATTTTCCTACATCTATTATGGTGATTATTATGAAAAGCTAGGATTGCTTTTGCATAAGGGTGAATGCAACAGTATGTTTGGATGTCTCATAGACACTATGCTGGAATTCAGGGTATACTGAGGAAGACGAAGAGGAGAGAAAACAGTGGTGAGAAATGGACATTCTAGTATTCATATGTGTAATTTAAGTGGTAAGAGAGAAGCCTCAAAACAAAAGGGGATACCTACAAGAAGTCTTGAATTAAACAAGTAACTCTTTCAGCAAAATCTAGTAATGTAGGGAAAGAAAAAACCCTTCTAAAAAGCAGTCCTATCTTTTCTGGGGATGACTGGAGAGAGAAAGCGATAGGGAAGAAGTGAAGTGTTCCGAAGGACTTATTTCCATAGTTGAGGGGACAATGAAGTGGGAAATTGTTGAGGAAATTGTTGTTACTTTGTTATAAGACAATAGTAGAAGAGGTACCTGATTCTGGTAATCCTTAATGTGTATGAATTAGAGTAGAACTTCCAAATTATCAAGTAGGAAAAACTGGGATTAATGGCAACTTTATTGCATCAACAAAACTAGGGAAAAGAAAAAATGCAAGAAATACACTAAAATAAAATAAATAACACACATAAACCAAGATGGAGGAACATCCTAGATGCTTATAAGAGAGAATTTAATATCAAGAATGCCACTTGTCATATAAACACACATATATATACACACACTCCAAAACATTTTTTGGAAGTCAGAAAAAAATTATCTGGGAATGTATATGAACGAATGCCTGAGAGTAGCCAGATGAAATTTCTGAAAAAAGAAAACAATAAGGAAAACTTAGCTTCTTAAGTAGACATCAAAGAATACACCAAGATAAGGTGGGATTACTTCTGGCTGTTCTTTAGCTCAGTAGGATAACTATTGGTTAAAAATCTATGATATATTTCAAAATGACCAGAAAAGTATGAAATTCCTGACATGTAAAAATGTTTGAAGAACTAGAAATGGTTATTCCCCTGATTTGATTGGGGTACATTATGCATATGTATTGAATTACCATAATGTAGCACATAAAGATGTATAAATATTACATCTCATTAGAAAAAACAATATAATTAAACCACTCTGGTATTGAAAGCATATAAATAAAATAAAATAATGGAAATGAATTAAGAATTCATGATAGATCCAGAAATAGACTGAAGTGATAAATCTCTATCTCTATATCTAGCTATCTACCTACCACTTAAGTAGGAAAAGGATAAATTATTTAATCAATACCATCTGTGATAGAGTTCAAGTAACACTGAACATTAAAGTAGGCTTTGAGGTCTGTTCTGGGAGAATAACAACCAGTTGTGATCCTGTTTCTAATGGAAATTAAAACATATTGCATACAAAAATTTTACAAATTAACTTTATGAAAACAAGCTGTTTTCGAGTTAGTGGACTATCTTTGTGAAAGTTCACAAACATGAAGGTGATCTGATTTTGACTTGGTGATGGATTTGGCCCTTATGATCAACTAAAATTCTTTTTCTTTGGTTTTCACTGCCCAACTAAAACCATCCTGAAGATCTCTGCAACACCAAAGTGGCCATCCACTTCTTTAGTAGCTTTCATCTTTGAAGGCTCTATTCATGGTGATTATAATTGTTACACTGTTCTTGCTCAAGCACTTCCTCTGAGTTTTTCTCTAAAGTTTCCAAACCTAAACAGAAATCACAGATTTGAAGAGAGTGAAAAGAAAGTTAACACTTCTTCATTATCTATCATAAGTCAAGTTATATAATTATTACAGTAACTATGAACTACATATTCCAAATGAGGAAAGACTCTGACAGGGTTGAGCAATTTTCCTTCTCTGGCATCAAGTCAGATTTTTTAAAAGTGGATAACTTACTCATTTTTAACTATTATTTAAAAATTGCATATACTAGGTAGCTCATAAATCACAAACATTTGTGGTTATGTTTTCACAGGTGAACACACTTTATGAAACCAGCTTTCAAATCAGGAAAACAGAGCACTACCCAAATCTCAGAAGCTACCCCAAGCGCATCGCTTTGCTTGCTATCCCCCCTTAAGGGTAACCACTCTCCTCATCCCCAGCACTTGTACCATCGCAGTGGTTTAGATTATATTAGTTTTAACTACTATTAAACTTTATAAAAATGGAATCATGGAATATTATTGTTTTATGTCTGTCTTCTTTCGACATTATAGTTTGGCAATTTTCTACTATGGTTACATTTAGCTGAGTTTATTTATTCTCAGTTGATATGCCACATCATATCCATTCCGCCACTAATGAACCTTTGAATAGTTTCCAGTTTTTAGCCACTGTGAATAGTGCTGCAATGAACATTCTTCTACCTGCGTGTCTTGTACGCCTTTCTGTCAGATACATACTTAGGAGCATTACAGTTAGAAATAACGATGCTATATACTAGAATTTGTAATAGAAATCTTGAACTTGATTCTTTTCAACTTACAGTTTTCCATGATTATTCACATGAATACTCTCTAGCAGCATAACAAATTCTTATAGTCCACGTCTACATTAACAAAGGCAGCTTTTGGAACCAGCGTTCTGACTCCAATACCTAATGCTCTCTTCTTTTCACTTAAATTTTATTTAAAGGTAAGCACTTGATAATGATTTTCTTTTATAAATTCCACGATTCTTTCTAAGATTTTCATTCTTTGTTCACTAAATGAGATTTCTTTTTTATACTGAAAAATATATCTGTGCTGAATAGAATTTAGTAGGGTAGGCAGTGCATCAGAGGCCTCCTGTAAATATTCATTTTCATTGAACCCAGCCTCTTCCACTTTTTCTGCATGAGTGAAAAGAACAGCAGTGTAATTCTTCCAAGCATCTCCCAGAAGTTCCTAAAAGAGAGAAGAAGTTAAATGGCCACTTGCCTTGGACTCTATTCCTCAAAAAACGAGTAAAGAGTTATTAAGGTCCAATATAGTCAGCCAACAGATCTGTGTGTCATGACATTTCTGAAAGCTGATCTATGAGCTGGAAAGTGGATATGAGGCCAAATGTTATAAGCAAATAGAGGGACACAAATGGGCTATCTGAATAAAAGACTTTAGTCCTCTATTTTATTTCACTGTTGTAATTGAAATTAAACCTCAACTATCTGCGTATTTTCTGATTATGCTGCATGTGGTATGTTATAATTATAACATTCAGTAATCGTTAACTCTTACATGACAACCTGACCTTGTTAGAACTACTAAATTCCTTCAAGTCAGAGGACCTTGACCAAGGGAACTGTTACATCTTTTTCAGGGATGTTGTATTATCATCACTAAAAACTTCTATTAAGGACTTAAAATTACATAATCTGGTTATAATCTGTTGATTAGTCAGATGACACGTAATGGAAAAGCTAAGATCAAAATACATTTGGTGATTATGGAACAACTACAAAATATTACTGTAATCCTCATCCTCCTCATTCCACATGCCTAGAATCAAACACAACTTATCAAATGACTTCTAATGTGGTTGAAAAACGGAGACTGGTGTTCCTTTGTTTAATAATTTGAGGAAGTAGGTTATGTAATAAATTCTTGTTTGATTAGTGAAAGCAAGCTGATATAAAGCAGAATAGCATGAGGTGAATTATTCATGTAACATTGAAAGACCTCTAGAAAGAGCCACTTAACTTTTTTCAGTATTTACAAAGTTATATGAAATCATGACAGTGTGACAGAAAAATATCATCTCCCTTCCATACACTCCTATTAACAAAATATTTCCAAAGGTGCTACCGGTTTATAATAACAAGAAACATGTAAAATACCTAGGAATAAAAATAACAGGAAATATTCAGGACTTCTAGTAATCAAAAGAAAGAAGGAAAAAAAACCCCTAACATTTACTCTTAAATATTGTGCTAAGCATTTTCCATGAGCTATCTGTTTTGAAACTCAACATGAGTCTTTGTGGGGGACATGTTGTTCTCTCCATTGTGATATGGAGTAATTGATATAGAGAAAGGTTGAATTACACATACTAGTAAAAATGCTAAACTTTTTTTTTTAAAGTCAATCTAGGAAACTTTTCAATTTATATAAAAAGCAGAGGATTAGTATCTATGATATTGAAAAACTGAAAAGAAAGAAGTAGTAAATAAAGCAAAGAGAAAGAAAGAAGGAAGGAAGAAAGGGAAAGGAAAGCAAGGCAAGCCTGTCTTTCCGTATCAGAGTCTGGCATGATGTAAACTCTCAATACATTCCTCTGTTGAATAAATTTTCAATTTAGATCCTCATCATTATTACAAATAGAATGTTTAGGGTTTTATTTACTTGTTTTGAGGGTTTTGTTTTGAGGTTTTATTAATCTTTGGGATGCAATATTGCGCTTTCTAGTAAAGCTTATAGTTTCTTCTTCAGTTCATTGTGATGGATTTGCATATTTTTTGTGTAGAATAACTGTATGAATAAGTTTGACATTTTTCCTCTTGTCAATTCAAAATTTATCTGCCAACACCATAAAATAATCATATACCTTCATTTCTCCTAAAAATGCCATTTTCAAGAAAATCCAATTAAATTTTCAATACTAGTACATTAGAGAATATTACTTTAATAGATTCTAAATTTTACACAAGGAGTTTTTAAAAAATATTTTAATTGGCTTTTATGTACTTTAAAAACACAAATTCATTTGAAAACTTTAATCCAAATTGTAAAGATCATAACTCTTATGTAAATCTAAGTATTTGTGTGATGTCAACAACTTACTCTAGCTAATGGTAACATGAAATTCTTAAGAGTTCCTGTATTTAGTGGACTGTGACAGATCACTTGTAGAGGGGAGCCAGAATTGCAAAGTAAATGAGCAATGGCATTATAAGTTGAATTGTGTTTTCCCCAAAATTCATATGTTGAAGCTCTAATTATCAGTTTTTCAGAATGTGACCTTATTTCAAAAGAGGGTCATTGTAGATAAAATTAGTCAAGGTAAGGTTATGAAAGTGAGCTCCTAACTCAGTATGATTTGTGTCCTTACAAAATAGGGCAGCTTAGACAAAGACATAGAGAGAATGCCTTGAGATCATGTGGTCATCTACAAGCTAAGGTTAGGGCCTGGAATACATCTTTCACTCACAGCCTTCCGAAGGAGCCAACCTTGTCAGCTCCTTAACTTCAGACTTCTGGACTCCCAGAAATGAGAGACAATAAATATCTGTTGCTTAAGCCACCCAGTTTGTGATATTTTGTTATAGCAGCTCTTGAAAAAACTCATACAAATGGTTAAAAAATTAATAAAGTGCTACATATCTCAGATGTAGGCTTAGACAACTAAAAGAGTCAGGACCATTTGTATCAGAATTACCTCAGAGACTTGCTAAAAAGGTATCAGAAACTTTAGTGCTGGAACACTAAGGGAAGCTGGAGAATTTGAAGTTTAAAAACTACTCTGAGTGTTCACAACTCTGCACACATTTATTAAGGATCTATTTTTCTCTAGGCATGTTCTACAAGGTGGGACATAGTGCAAAATAAGACATACATTTTCTGTTTATATCTGGTGGAAAGAAATATTTCCAGTTTCTGCAAGTGTTGTGATAGAAATTATCTTGATGGAATAGAGGTAAACATTTAGCCCAGTTTAGGGTAGGAGTGACATATGAAGATAAAGGGAAGGGGTCAGGAGAAGTTTCCTGTATGTGATGATGACTTGAACTGATTCTTGAAACATGCATAGGTATCAATGAGAAATTAACATAATGAATATTACTGGATTTTTAAATATTGGGATTTTATTCTATTCAAATATAGCTATTGATCCATAATCACTCATGCCTCTGAAAGTTTCTCAAATTTAGAGCCAGATCTAATACTCAGTACACAACTGATATGGTCATACAGATTGTCATAATATTGAAATATGTATATACAACATAGTAAATAGCTGCTGCCCTTAATACTTGAGCACCTGCTCCATTGGTATTTATTGGTTGATGCCCAAACCATACTTCTCATTAAATATTTTTAAAAATATCACCCTAATAAAAGTGCATGATAAATAAACCATTCTGTACAACAGTCCTTTCCTGATATATATATATATATATATATCACAATGAAATTCTTCTCTTATAACTTAATACTTAGGTTTTCTGTATTGTAACAACATGCTCCCTTCTTTATTTCCACCAGACATTTCCTATATTTTAAACCATTATCTTATTCAGGGGAATAAGATATCCTTGCGACCTAAGGATAACACACTCCTAAGCTTCTTGTCACTTATAAGCCCATGTGTTCAGCCACTGAGAAGCTTTTACAGGCTGATAATTATTTATGAAAGGGTGCTCAAATTTTATACTCTGAAAGAAATTGAGCTTTTGAATTACTGCCAAAACCAGAAGAGAATGGTTGACTCAGCTTATAATCTTTACATAGTTTTTTGGCCAGAAAATTGTTGAATATTTGAAAGTAGTGTCGCTCGGTGTATAGTCACCATGTCAGTGGCCAAACATGTTCTCTATGGACCTAGAGAAAGAATAATCACAGTTGATGGATATCCCACAAAAGCTCAAGAACAAGATAAGTTAATGTAAGTTATCTGGTGTTAATAATTTAAATATAGTACTAAGCTTGATGGAAATTTTATAATCATGAATTGTTTGGTTTTGGAGTGCTAATGGGTATGAGCCCGTCTAGTCCTTATGGGACAACTAGTTAGGATATAAACTGTGTTTTCCAGGAATTATGTTCATTTTCCCAGGACCTCACCAGCCCTGCCCCATTTGTTTGTGGTTGATGAAATCATAGCATCTGGACTTTTTAGGGGGAAACTTTTTTTAAAAAAGCCAAGTATTACATCAACTGAGAGAAAATTATCATGGAACAGGGGAACAGCAAGGTCTTTCCTTTTTAAATATTTTATGTTATTCACTTGCTCTTATTCCACTTTAAAATGCCACATTTTCCTTTCCAGAAAGCCAAAGTGGAATGATAAGATCTTGTTAGATCTGATTCAGAGAATATTCAATCTGAGAGTGTGTCTGTCCATACTGCCTTATTTTATAGGTTAGTTTTGAGGCTTTGTGATGTTAAATGGCTTAGCCAAAGCCACATGGCTGATTACTGGAGGGCTTGTTCCTGTAATAAAGGTATTCTGACTGTATGGCCCATGACAAATACTAATAATAAATAATGACCAGAGCTAACATTTGCCATGTGCCAGTGTCTCAGTTAAACAACTTAACTACTATTATGTTAATATAACACTAATCCAATAGGAACCCAAGTAACCAGGTACTATTATCATTCCTAACTTACCAATGAAGTTTAGAGAAGTGATCTGCCTAAGGTCACAAAACAAATAAGTAGCTAAGTAGGAACTTGAATATCAGTTTAATTTACTCAGAACTGGATTTTCTTCACCATTATAATATGTTTGCCATATCGGTGCTTCATTTGAATGAGTACTCATCTTAGTGTGGGGAAAAATGACAATAATAGCAACGCCTTCTTTTGTGAAGCCATTGCAAGTTAGGCACAGAGCTGAGCATGTCATATTTATTAAAACTAATGCTTACAACTCTTTAACACAGCTTAAAGTATCCCCATTTTGCAAGTGAGAAACTGAGAAGAAGAAAGTCTTAGTGACATTAGGCTTGTTTTTAAACTAAAATTCTAACTACTAAGTCCATGATCTTTGTTTAGCATGTTCTAGTCCTGCCTTGGTCTTTCTCAGTATTTGTAGACACACTTACCCACAACATCAACAGTTGAGTTATTGATTACGAAAAAAAAATATAAGCTTGCAACCTTCTTGTAGACAGTAATAATGCTTTCCATGAGTACGCAAATGAAAGTAGTTTTTAGTCAATTCCTAGGTTAGCATCCTAGAGCAACTTGGCTCCAATGTAGCACTTTCCTTGACATAATTGTATTATACCTTCTCTGATATGTTATTTGTGGACTTTGTTTTCAACATTCAAATAACACTCCAGATAACATTCACATGAGTCATTTCTTTGAATTCCCAATTTTGGAGAGATGACTCACTGATATCTCTATTGTTTTGCTACAAATTAGTAAAGGCCTAATACATAAATATAAATATTTTAAAATGCATATAAATAAAGTAAAAGAGATCATTTGAGGGAAATGTTTCAATGTCACAGCCTATAACCCCTCTGCAAAACATTAGAGCACAAATTAAGACACATATTTTGCTGGCGGAGTGGCTCAAGTGGAAGAGTCCCTGACTGGTAACCATAAGGCCCTGAGTTCAAACACCAGTCCTGTCCCCCCATCAAAGAAAAAGAACAACAGGGAAGTGCACTAAAGAAGAGGTCAGTCCTCTTGCACTGACCTTGCAAATTCTCTCCATGGCAGGTATCAGTACACCTGGAAAATGGTTAAAGAAAAGAGAGAAGGGAGACATTCCATATTTTTTTTTTATCAGTCAAGAAGAAAAAGAAATCCATGATATGCCTGGAAACCTGAGGACTCTAACAGCTCCTTGCGCCTTCCCAACAGCTGAATATTCAGACATCTGTCAGCTGCTCATGAGCTGTGAGCACAGATGGCTGTCACAAATAGCTGAAGCACCTTCAGTAAGAAAGCCATGAACAATTAGGTTGTGCCTCAGAGACCATTAGACTATGGTGGAAACCTAGAGAAGGTCCCCAGGACCTTACAGTGTTAATGGGCCACTCTGAGAATTACTAAGTCTTGGATACTGAGTTTTCATATAACAAAGAAGTTATTTGTTCCTAGGAAAAAAAAAATCAAGCTCTGAGGTTTGCCTTTGACCGTGTCCTCTCTGTCTTTAACTTCTGGTTGTACATTTACTTAAGGAAGGCAGCTTTTGGAGGAGGAGGCTATATGACAGATAATATTTTACAAGGCCAGGGACAAGTATGAATTAAATTAATTTTTATAAGAAATTAGGGGATTCTAATAATTATAAATTAAATAAAATTAAATAAAATTATAAAATAAATAAAAATAAATTAGGGGATCCTAAAACTAGAAAAAAATCTATTTTCTAAGTGTATGAAATTGAAAATATCATTTTGGGTTCAGCATAGATCCATGATAGGAAAAAAATAGTGGGACATATGGAGAAAGTCAGGGTAGCTTTTGAGAAATAATTGTTGGTGCATTTACTGAATTACATTCATCTATAGCATAAGTTAAATGTATATTTAAAAACAGCTTTAATTGAATATTAAAAATTGTTTAAAAATTATACTGATGTAATGAATGCAGGTTTCCCACTACTTGATTTCTACCAGAACACTGTTTGAAATGCAATTTTTAATAGGTTGGGGGTAGTTTATGGGCTTTCTTAGATTCTATAGTATGTCTTAATTGCAATCAATTAATGATACAATATGTCCTTGATTTTTCAGGAGTTGGATAATCAGGATTACTTATGCTTTTCTCACCCTAATTTTGTCCTCTACTTTCTTGTGATTACACATATGGATTTTTTTTCAATTTTAGAAATGTGTAATTACTAAAAAATGTGTGTCTGCAATTTAGAACAATCTTTTGTCTTTACTAGTTACAGGGGGAAAATCCTTCATTGAAACAAACTGTACTATCTTTTTGGGTGTCATAGGACTTCTTTGAGTTCAGTGACTCAGGACAGCAGCTAAGTAATACTAGTGGAGTCCAGCCAGCTACATCTGGGTGAATCAGATTAGAAAATCAAGAGATTGAATAGAATCTAGCAGCTCAATGAACAGGTTCTAGGAATTGATAGTAACAGTCAACATGAGCCTTGTTCTGTTATACTTTACCCAGTTGGATTAAAAATATATGCTCCTTTTATCTCTTGGCTGTGGCTATACCAGTACCTGCCCCCTTACCTAGCTTGTTTCCTAGACTGTGCCTTGTTAAGCCTCCAACTGAGCAACTTATGATGAATGAACAAACAAATGTGATGCACCACTAGCAAAGGAGGCATAGGTTGTTTATGTTCCATCCAAAGTCTGAATGGTCTTGCTATGAGTGGAATGGGACTGATTCTTTTTGTTTGTCTCTCCTAACACTGTAAGCTTTGTGAAAGCAAGGCTATGTCTCTGTGCAGGTGTTCAATGACTGAATCAGTAAATGAACATCCATTTACTAGTGAACTATAACAGATTGTCTTCTTGATCTTGAGTGGATGCAAGTTGGTATTTTAGTAAAGTGGTTTGAAACACAACTATTTTAAGAAATATATGGAAAGCAATGAAAATATGCAGTTACCACTCTTGAGATGCTGTTTCTATAGGTTTTGAAGGAATCTGCATTGTTAACAAGCAGCCCAGTTGATTCTGATGCAGATATTCCAGGGATCACATTATATAAACTTACTCAGATTTGCAATTCTTATGGTTTTAAGGTTTAGTTAATCTCTTAAAGCTATTATCTCAAATTCTCCCTCATGACCCAGTTATAAAATGACTGACTGAATTCCTCTAAAGGAAATTACAAAAATTATTCTTGGTGAAAAATCAAGTAATTTTACAATTGTTATGTGTCTGACACTTTGTGGTTCAAACTACTCTTTTAACTAGTTTTTCTTAGTCCTTTCTTATAAGGATAATGTCTTCCAAACGTGGATAATAAGACAAGTTATTACTTGTGTACAGATGATAACTTATTATCTTTGTATTACCTGAATCAACTGGATGGGGTAAGATGCTTCCTGTCCACAGAAGGGCACATCTGCTCTTTGGACTAGCAGCGCAAGGTGGAGACCCTCTTGCCCAAAGTGATATTCCAGGGCTTTCTTGACCTCCTGTTTCACATGCTGCATGCTCAGTTTACTATGTGGGTAACCTGGAGTATCCAACACCTGGACTTGCAGGATTATTTCTTGTCCCCCTCGTCGCATGAAGTTGTGGAGGTGATAACTGCGGCCTAGACTGCAATCTTTGGTTACAGAACATGGAGCAAACCTGCTGTGAAAGTCAGTGCTTCCCAGAAGAATGTTTCCGGAAGAACTTTTTCCACTCTGAGTCCTCCCAAAGAGAGCCAAGTTGATGGTCATCTTGTTGGTGTCTGTCATAGCTGTGGTCAAACAAGGCACATCATAAACAGGTGTGTACATTCACCCAAAGTAAGGCTTCTTTTCTGGACTAGAGGACACCATATATAGTTGTTCCTTAGAATTTGTGGGTGATGGGTTCCAGTATGCCCCTACAACACCTGTGGAGCTCAAGTCCCTTCTATAAAGTTGAGTAGTATTTGTATATAACCTGTAAAATAGTGCTTTAAATCATACTTAAATTACTTCTAATACCTAATACAATATAAATGGTATGTAAGTAATTATTTTGCTATATTGTTTAGATAATAATGACAAGGAAAATAGATTTGTACACAATCAATACTGACATAACTTTTATTAATATTTTAATCCACAGTTGGTTGAATCCACAAACACAAAACCTGTGGATGTGGAAGTCTGACTGTACTATCTTTGATTTGCTTCTCCCTCATTCATAGTGACTAAAGCATGGAGGAGTGCCCTGCTAAAGTGAAGATGTCACAGAGAGAGCAGAAAGATTGAAATAATATTAGTAGGGACAGTGGGAAGACAGAGAAAAGTCAAATCAGATAAGAAAGGTATGGAGAAGTAATAATTGCAGGAAAATGAGGCAAAAATCCAAATTACATGAAGATAATATAAAACATACTTAGAACATCTTAATGCATCAGTGTGGTAAATTACTTGGTTTTGGATTGGATAGTGAAGATTTTCTGAACTCAGGAACAAAACTAGGATGGGCATGGTGGTTCATGTCTGTAATCCTAGCTCAAAGACAGAGATTAGGAGGATCATGAATTGAAGCTAGCCTAGGCAAAAAGTTCACAAGATCCCATCATGACCAATAAAGCTGGGCATGGTGGCATGAACCTGTCATCCTAGCTATGCAGGAAGTAGAAATAGGATGACCATGGTCATGGCTGGCCTGGGTGCAAACATAAGACCCTATTGGAAAAATAAAGTAAAAAGGATTGGGGCATGGCTCAAGGGTAGAGTGTCTGCCTACCAGACACAATGCCCTGAGTTCAAACCCTAGTACTAAAGAAAAGAAAAGAAACAAAAAGTAGAAATATTACTTGAAAATCAATCACTGTTGAAGAAGTAGGAACAGGGCAGTAGAAGATATGGCACCAATAGCAATTTTAACAAAGTCCTCCACCTTTCCAACTCCCTGCTCCCTGAGTATGCACACAGTGCCATCTGCAAAAAAACCCCCTCATCTTTCACTACTTCCTGAATGCTTCTCTCTTATGAAACAGGAATAAAGTCAAAGATAACTCCAGCTTCTGTTTACCAAATATGTTTTACAACTTGGCAACATTCTGATGAAAATAAGGACTACTAATAATTGGTATAATGAAACAATTAATAAATCATTCCACAGCTCATCATTACAAAGTGTCGGCTTTTTAAAAAAGAAGGCAAGGCTCAGTACATTGTACAGTTTAGTCAGGAGGGAGGAGATTCTACTTCATTTATAAGACCTGTAAAGTTAGTCAATCTTTTGTATAAGGATAAAGCCCTTATTAGCATTTTAAAATCATTAATCATCGTCACTGATGAATAAGCAAAGCTACAGGCTAATTGCCAAACATGATCAATCTGGTGATTCAGAAATAGACACTTGAATATAGCATATTTATTATTTTTGTTCATCATTTATAACTCTATTAGGCAGTTTTAAGTACCCTAAGCCTTTCTTGTTTTCTAGTGCTCCTCACCCAATATCCCTAGACCATAACACGAACACCGTGAAGGAGATTCACTCTCACATAAAAAAATCACTTGTTCTCAGGGTCCTTCAAGTTAACACCAAGTCACCTACCTCGTTCAGTTGTGTATACTGCAATAAGTTGCAGTCGATTCCATTTTACTCCTGAATCAGATGCTTGCTATTTAAAAAAACTGACTTTCTAGTCCAGTATCACTTACCTTTTCCAGTCTTGGAAATGCTTTATTTATAAAGACTTTCCTGGAGCTGGTACAATTGTTATTTGGTATGAACTTTAACCTTCTGACAGTGTTGCTGTACCAGTCAGAAACTGATACTGCACTATTTTATTTAGTTAATCTATTACCAGACATCCTCTTTATAAGTGATTAATTTTCTTCAAATCAGCACTGACTTATGTCACCTGACAGACTTGTAATTTTAAGATACTTCCTGAAACTTCTGTTTCAAAAATTAGACTCTTTCATTCAGTGTGTTTCTAAAAAACAACAATTTACCTACAGCATAAAGGAATGCAAGATCTGTAAGTACCAATAGTATAAAGGAGTGCAAGTATCAGTAAACATTTATAACAATGGTTAAATTTTTTCCATTTTAATTAATAAAGGCCACTATCACTACTACATGAAACATTTCAATAAAATTTCAATAAACAGATGTACAATATATGTACAATAATTTGATAGTGACTGCATAGCAGTATTTCGTTCGTAAATCCAAATTTATCTAAGAAAACTCTTTAGGCTATTGCCATATAATTGAAATTTATAATCTTATCCTAATTGATGAAATCGCTAGTATGATTATTTCAGCACATACAATTTCCATATAAATTAAAGATAAAATATTTAAGAAAAAGAGTACAATTAACTACAACTTTGGTTAAACAAATTTTTCTTAAGAATTTGGGTTTGGGTTTTATTTTGTTATTAAAAGCTCAAATTTGATTTTCCAATTTCTTAATATGCAAACCATATGTCCATAAATACTTTCTTATAGTGTGTAAGATGTAGAAACCTTGCGATGGCTACATTCTGATTCATCTTCTCTTGCATCTCTCAACAAGTCTATAGAGTATGTATTTTTGTGCGAAGGGAACTTGGAGACATCTGGAACATCTTATGACTTCATGAGTAGAGAGTTAAAAAGTCCTCCTCCTGTGCGGATATGACAAGGAAGACATGAACTGGATTCATTCATCTGATAAGCCCATTGGCTTTCTTGAATGATGGAGAAAAGAACCTCCCCCAGGTGGCAGTAGCAGCCTGTTTTCTAAGAAGTGATTTTGAACCAGAATTTATTGTAATTTTCTTTCTTCAAACCATAAATTGCCCTTTTTCAACAATGTACATCAGCACATATGAATTAAATTGTGTGGGGGATTTTTTTAAGAGGGGGAAAGTCAAGCCTTCCTTTCTATGTTCTTTATAGAATACTGCAAGCAAAGGAGATTTTTTTAAACTTCATTTTAAAGTCAAAGTTTAAATATTTACTGAATGCAATAGCTAACTGCTTAAAAATTTATAAGCATATTTATAAATTCCAATACAACTACAAAAGTTCTAGATATTTTTTAATAGCTCTAATGGAAGCTTTAGTTTTGAGTCAACCTCAAGGTTAATAAAAGGGAAATTTATTAAATGACAGTGAAAGTTTGATTGTTAATTCTTCTTTGAATCAGGCTGTTAAGTACAATTTAAGAAATAACCTTTTCACTTATTTGGATAAATGTGATGTAGTAGGAATAAAAATGTATTATTCATTAATAGTTGGAATTAAGAATTCCTTTTAGGAAGGATCTTGTCTTTGAGAAAATAATTAATCAGATACTTGAGGTAGGAAAGGGGGATCCTGAGTACATGATCCAAACACACACACACACACACACACACACACACACACACACACACACACACACACTTACCAATCTGCTGGTGATGGGAGAAGAGTCAAGATAAGATAGAAAAGATCAGGTATGAAAGGAGGAGAGGGGATAGAAAGGGAGGAAGGGAAGAGAGTTAGGGCTATAATGGCAAGGCATTATCTCTAAGTTTTAGAGATAGAAATGGCTAAGAAACTATTTTAGAGCAGAAATAACTAATGTTCATTTTAAGTTCTTTGCATTTCTGGGTACAAAGTAAACCACTTTCACAGTTTCCTTGTATGGAGGTGGCTTTTCATTTTCATTTTGTTTTAAGCTGTTATTTGCATTTTATTTAATTTTTTTGGTGGAAACTAAAGATGTTTGAGGTCTATCCTTGTATTCACACAGGACAAGAGCCTTACAAGTTGGAGATTATGGGATAAAATCTGATTTGAATAATTCAGAAGAGGCAGGACATTGAAGCTAGATGTCTTTTTTTTTGATATATGTTTACATTGTGGAATGATTAAATCAAGCTAATTAACACATACCTTTTTTTGTATATGTGTGGTGATAACATTTAAAATCTAAGCAGTTTTAAAATATATACTGCATTATTATTTATTACGGTTTCTATTCTGTACAATCAATTGTTAGACCTTATTCTTCCTTTCTAACTGGACGTTTATATACTTTGATCAACATCTCTACTTTCTCCTTTCAGTCACCCCCACCAGCCACAGTAACTACCGCTTTACTCTGAGTTTGATGATTTTAGATTCCACTTATGAGAGAGATTATATGCTATCTGTTGTTCTGTGCCTGCCTTATTTCATTTAGTGTAATGTCTTCCAGGTTTGTTTCCATGTTGTCTCAAATGATAGAATGTCTTTTTAAGGCTGAATAATGTTCCAATGTGTGTGTGTGCCACATTTCTTTGTTCATTCATCCATATTCGACATAGGTTGCTTCCGTATTTTAGCTATTGGGAATGGTGCTGTGATAAGCACAGAGACAGTTATCTGTTGGGCACACTGATTTATCCCTTTGGTTGTATACTCAGAAGTAGAATTGCTAGGTAAGGTGGTAGAGCTATTTTAGTTCTGTGGAACCTCCATACTGTTGTCCATAATAATTACACTATCTTCCATTCCCACCCACAGTGTGTAAAGCTTTCCTTTTTTTCACACCCTTGCCAACACTTGCTGTCTTTTTTTTTCTGAAACTGGGGATTGAACTCAGGGCCTTGTGTTTGCTAGGCAGGTACTCTACCGATTGAGCTATGCTCCCAAGCCTTTTTTGCTGAAGTTATTTTTCACGTAGGGTCTTGCTTTTCTTGCCTTGACTGGCCTGACTGCAGTCCTGATATTTTATGCCTTCCGTGTAACTGGGATGACAGGTGTGTGCCAGCATGCTCAACTT